AAAACCAGACTAGCTATTGAGGTCCCTTCCACTCCTACACTTCTCTGATTTCAGTGCAAAAGTAAAGCATATACTGAAGTATTTGCAAAATCAGGGCCAAAGTCAGGAATTTTAATTTAAATAAAATGTTAGTGGTTTTTTTTATTCATGCCTGTTCATGTATGCTCACCTCAGTAGTCATGGCTTTCATGGTGCCTGGAGCAGTGAAGATACCTTCTGGGACTGGGGTAGAGAAATCTCAACTGGGAGCAGCTGAGGCAGTGTTCCACATGACTCATCTGCCTTCCTTGAGACTTGTCTCATTGTTTCCATGTTCACGTCAAACAGCAATTGCAGTTGATAACCATTTAAAGTCAGCTGGCTGCCTCCATTCATCATTTGCCTGATGAACAAGGAAAACATTTTCTTGATTGTTATTTAAAATATCCACTTCTAGCTCTTATTTTAATTTCCTCTTTACTGAGATTTGGATTAACTAGTTTGCTAATTTACTATATTGCTAATTATATAATGCATTCATTAAATATTATTTACTTACACTTAAGTAATAAATATACAGATTTAACACAATTAAAATGATTATTTTATGTGATTACAATAAATGTGTGTGTGTGTGTGTATTTCCATTATAGTGGGAGAATATTTGCTATATGATGACATTTCTAATAGTTGTAGCTGTACTTGTAGTACACAAAATACTTTATAAAACATTATTTTAGATGTTTATAACTGTGTGAGACATTCACTTTTGGGGCTGAAGTTCTCCATGCCTAGTGAATTGTATGTGTATAACTAGTGTTGTATGTATAACCTAGTGTATAACTAACTGTTTTAGTTGCACAGAGAAGTAGTTTCTCTTGGAAATGGCTTCCTCATCACCACCAAGTATGGAATTACTTTGGGCTTTAAAAAAAAACAACCTTTCAACAGATATTGGAGTGGAAAGGGAGGCAGCCAGGAATGGACCTGCCCAAATCTACTAATGGATACACCCCATATATTATATGAAGGAGGAGCTTCAACAACAACAACAAACTTCACATACATTTGAATACTTTTAACATAACAAGGCTGTTGTAACTTATTATCATTGCAAAGTGAAATCCTACCTTTGCTCCTCCAATGATACCCATCTTCATAGTGTGAAATTGTTTATTGAGAAGCCAGCTTTCTCCCAAGCCACTCCTCATGATGAAAGAAAAAGATCCCAGTCAAAATCTGTAAAGCCACCCTCTTCTCCACCTTGAGATCCCTCCTCAAAACTCATCCACCTAATGCACACTGTAAATTGCAACCGGATAATTGCTAGGTGGGTGAAAAGCTGTGATCACTACCACTGGCTGGGTAAAAAATGTACACCTTCTATTATATTTCTTTGTTATCTCATCTCCCCCACCTAACCCCAACTTAGATCATTTTTTGTTTGGTTGGGTTTTGTTGTTTGTCTCATCCATCTGTTTTAGCCATTCTGTTAGACTGTAAGCTCTTTGGGTCATAGATTGTCATTTATTATATGTGTATAGCAACTGGCAGAATGGGTCACAACCTGGTTGAAGTGTTTAGGCATTACCATAATATATTTAAGTCATTATCACTTTTCCAATCAAGCTTTATTTACTTTTCAAAAGTATGGGACTATCTCTGACACAAATATCATACATATAAAAGGGCTCTTTCCATTGAAATGGCAAGATCGGGCAAGATAGCCATTTAAAATATGTAAAAAGCGACAGAGTCCTGTGGCACCTTATAGACTGACAGACGTATTGGAGCATAAGCTTTCGTGGATGAATACCCACTTAGTCACATGAATGTAGTGGAAATTTCCAGAGACAGGTATAAATATGCAGGCAAGAATCAGTTTAGAGATAACGAGGTTAGTTCAATCAGAGAGGATGAGGCCCTCTTCTAGCAGTTGAGGTGTGAACACCAAGGGAGGAGACACTGCTTTTGTAGTTGGCTAGCCATTCACAGTCTTTGTTTAATCCTGAGCTGATGGTGTCAAATTTGCAAATGAACTGAATCTCAGCAGTTTCTCTTTGAAGAATGGTCCTGAAGTTTTTTTTTTTTTGCTACAGGATGGCTACCTTTAAAACTGCTATTGTGTGTCCAGAAAGGTTGAAGTGTTCTCCTACAGGTTTTTGTATATTGCCATTCCGAATATCCGACTTGTGTCCGTTTGTCCTTTTACATAGGGACTGTCTAGTTTGGCTGATGTACATAGCAGAGGGGCATTGCTGGCACCTGATGGCGTATATTACATTAGTGGACGTGCAGGCGAATGAACGGGTGATGTTGTGGCTGATCTAGTTAGGTCCTGTGATGGTGTCGCTAGTCTAGTTATGTGGGCAGAGTTATCATTGAGGTTTGTTGCATGGATTTGTTCCTGAGTTAGAGTTACTATGGTGCGGTGTGTGGTTGCTGGTGAAATGTGCTTAAGGTTGGCGGGTTATCTGTGGGCGAGGACTGGCCTGCCAAGGCCTGTGAAAGCAAGGAATCGTTGTCCAGGATTAGTTGTAGATCACTGATGATGCGTTGGAGAGGTTTTAGCTGAGGACTGTAGGTGATGCCCAGTGAGTTCTGTTAGTTTCTTTCTTGGGCTTGACTTGCAGCAGGAGGCTTCTGGGTACACTTCTGGCTCTATTGATTTGTTTCCTTATTTCCTCGTGCAGGTATTGTAGTTTTGAGAATGCTTGGTGAAGATCTTGTAGGTGTTGGTCTCTGTCTGAGGGGTTAGAGCAAATGCGGTTGTACCTCAGCGGTTGACTATAGATGATGGATCATGTGGTATGTCCAGGATGGAAGCTGGAGGCATGAAGATAGACATAGCGGTCGGTGGGTTTTCGGTATAGGATGTAACATGACAGTCACTGATTTGTACCGTGGTGTCTAAGAAGTGGACCTCCCGTGTAGATTGGTCCAGGCTGAGGTTGATGGTGGGGTGGAAGCTGTTGAAATCGTGGTGGAGTTCTTCCAGAGTATCCTTCCCATGGGTCCAGATGATGAAGATGTCATCAATGTAGCGTAGGTAGAGAAGGGGAGTGAGTGGATGAGAGATGAAGAAGTGTTGGTCCAGGTCAGCCATAAAAATGTTGGCATATTGTGGGGCCATGCGGGTGCCCATAGCAGTGCTACTGGTCTGCAGGTATATATTGTCACCAAATTTGAAATAATTGTGCCTGAGGATAAAGTCACAGAGCTCAGCAACCAGTTGTGCTGTGGCATCATCAGTGATACTGTTCCTGACAGCTTGTATTCCATCTGTGTGTGGGATGTTTGTGTAGAGAGCCTCCACATCCATGGTGGCTAGGATGGTGTTTTCTGGAAGATCACCAATGCATTGTAGTTTTCTCAGGAAATCAGTGATGTCACGGCGATAGCTGGGAGTGCTGGTGGTGTAGGGTCTGAGTAGAGAGTCCACATATCCGGACAGTCCTTCAGTGAGAGTGCCAATTCCAGAGATGATGGGGCGTCTGGGATTTCCAGGTCTGTAGATCTTGGGTAGTAGAGAAAATAACCCCAGTCGGTGCTCTAAGGGTATGTTGATTTGCTCCTGTGTTAACATAGGGAGTGTCCTGAGTAGATGGTGAAGTTTCTTAGTGTATTTCTAGGCTGATTCTTGCCTGCATATTTATACCTGCCTCTGGAAATTTCCACTACAGTCATCTGACGAAGTGGATATTCACCCACGAAAGCTTATGCTCCAATACGTCTGTTGGTCTATAAGGTGCCAAAGGAGTCTTTGTTGTGTTTTACAGATCCAGACTAACACAGCTACTCCTCTGATATTTAAAATATGATTTCCCCAACATCCATAATGCCAACAAACTGAAAACATTATGTCGACACCATCTTTCTCTGGCTTCTCTCTTGTATATCCAGAAATATATTTCAGGAAAACAAATTCCAGATATCAACTCTATTCTCTCTCTTTCTTCCTGTTCACTCTCGATCCATTGTCACTGTCCTCAGTCACTCAATTTCACTCCCAATGTTCTTGTCTCCACTAAGAAAAATGGACTATTTTAACTCACGTTAGCCAACACATGCTTAAAATACACCTGTTTTCCTAGTCTAGAAATGTCTATTGACTATTACTTGACCTCTCCTCATTCACCCAGATGCTCCCCTCTCATTCCAACTCTACAATAGGGTCTTTCAGCATTCATTCTCTAACCATGAGTTCAGGCCTCACTGGGGCAATTTTACATATACACACCTACCAGTTCTTGAGTAGACCATATCTCAGACTTAATTGAGGTGGGCGGGATGGGAAGCAGCATCTGATCTCCACCACTTTGAGACCTGGGGAGAGAAGTACATACAATCTTATCTTCAAGACTGGATGGAGAAAGAACCTCTTGTTGCTGCATCACTATTGTGGACAGCATCTCCCAATATCCACCCTCATCCTCAGGGAGATGGGGACAGCTCCTCTCAAGTTTCAGTGCTCCTTCCTGGACTAGGGTGACCAGATGTCCCAATTTTATAGGGACAGTCCTGATTTTTGGGTCTTTTTCTTATATAGGCTCCTATTACCCCCCACTCCCGTCCCAGTTTTTCACTCTTGCTGTCTGGTCACCCTATTCCTGGACTGAGTGGGGCAGTTCTATGATTCCCATTACACACACACCCAACATAAGGAGCCTGCCAGCATAGTCTCAGGCAGAGTGAGTAGTGGTAGTTCTGAATCACAGTCCACTTACTCAAATTGGCTTTCAAATGCAGCAAGAAGACCAAAGGGAACACAGATTGGAGCTCCTGAGCCCAAACTTGAATGGTGGCAAGTTGGCCTGGAGGCCTCTCCTCCATTGTGGTTATGAGGTTTTCAGGAGTGGCCAGTTCACAAGTGACTCGGCGGCCCAGGTAACCCATTTTTTCTCTGTTCCTGGCTGCAGCCAAGTCATAGGATCTTCATGTTGCTCTTGCAAGCCTGATAAAGTGCATCAGGTTTAGCCCCTACTCCCGCTGATGTCAGCCAGTCATATGACAAGCCTAGAAGGTGCCACCTGCAGCCAGATATTCTTTCTGAAAATCCTTAAGATTGGTGCTGGTTGGCCCCAGAGATATTAAACAGAGGTCCGGTCTTACGATTGTTTAAGATCTCCTTTCACCTTTTGCCAGCATAGAGGTGTTATTAATTTGGGGTAATTACATTCACACCTAGTGACACTTTGGGATTTCACCCATACCAGTAAGAAGTTGTGTCACCACATGTCCTGTAACCTTGGATACTTTTGTACTGTGCAGCTTTGGCTCAGAGCACTAACACCAGCAGTCTGTTTACAGCAGAATAACCTCACCCTGACTCCTTGAAAGGTGACACCCAAAGAACCTCCAGTCCTGAGTCTATTGAAAAGGGTCACCTCTGCAGTGCTCAGTCCTTCTCACTGTAACACTTGCTAAACTCTATCAAGTGCGCTATTCCTTTAAACAGGCAGTAAACAACAGCAGCCTGCTAGTTGGGCTGTGGATTTTATTCTTGAGTTGCACTGAGAGGGTTGTGTAATAAAACAAGATTAAGTTTATTAACAAAGAATAGATATTTAAATGACACCAAGTAGGAAAAATTGAGACACAAGTGGTTACATAGAAAAGTAAAAATACATTTCTAAGAATAAAATTGAATTTAAACCCTTTTGTTCAAAGTAGTTTTTCCCACCACATTTTTTTTTTTTATTTCCAGCATGGTGGCCAGTTCTTAGACAAGATCCAACACAGACGTCAAAGCGCTTGGTTTCTTGGTCTCTTCAGGTGAAGGATGCCAAAATAGCTCTCTCTGTTTATGTCTTCAAAGTTTTATTTTTGTTTTCAAAGTCAGGAAGCTGTCCTGGTAACTCAACTTGGTTTGAATGCCAGAGAGCTGATGCTATGTTAATTTTTACAATCTCCTTCCCCCATCGTGATAGGTATATCTCCATATATTTAAAACTATCTCATAGAACTGGAAGGGACCCTGAAATGTCATTGAGTTTAGGCTCCTGCCTTCACTAGCAGGACCCAGTACGGATTTTGCCCCAGATTCCTAAGTGGCCCCCTCAAGTATTGAACTTATAACCCTGGGTTTAACAGGCCAATGCTCAAACCACTGAGCTATCCCTCCACCCACTATCTTCCCCCACTTGCTAGTTTAATGGCTTTGTTTACCTTTTATGTAAAAGTATTTCTATTCTCTCTCTCTTCCTCAATTTT